CCTCGCTACATTTCCCAAAGTGCTTTTTCTTACACTTATCACACCACTTCGCTTTGCCTCCTTTTCCTCCACCAAACTTTTTCGAATCAGATTTTGAAAATTTGCTTTTCTTACTGGAACCAGATGTTCCCTCAAACTTTCTCTTCTCACCAACCTCAACCTTGTCGGTGGTTCACCCCTTAATCATGTTCTCAACAGACTTGGCAGCCCAGATAGCTGCCTCTAGAGTATGTGCCTGGCGTACTGGCACCTCGTACTCCCATGGGAGTCCCTTCGCATACCGGTCCACCTTTATCAGCTCATCTGGAATGATGCGCAAAGCAAACTCCATCTTATCTGTAAAGTTATTAGTGTATTCATCAACTGACATGCTGTCTTTCGTCAATGTCAGAAACTTGTTCTCTAGTTCCAACAGATTTTGAGCCGAGCAGAACTTGCGCTTGAACTGCACCAAGAATTCTGCCCATGTCAATTGCAGTGGCTCATTAGGGCTTAAAGTCTTCCATAGAGTGTTCCACCAACGAACGGCTCCACCTCGGAATTGACGCACTGCATAGATAGTCTGCAACATGCCTCTGCAGCCACAAGTCATGAAGGCCAATTCCATTTCTGAGATCCAATCCATAACTCCAATCGGATCCTCCTTTCCATTGAAGGTCGATGGTTTGCAAGTTAGAAAGTCCTTGTACTTTCATCCCATTCCATCATTCCTTCCATCATGGTTGTTTTGCCTAACTATCGGTGGGTTGGCTTGACCAACAGACCCACTGAAGTTTCCACCTTCCGAGTGCCCTTCATTTAATTCGGGCTCTTCCACACGAATTGACAGTTCTTCACGATTCTGTTGAAGCAACCGTCTAGTTTCATCCATCTGACGATCCAACATTGTTTGAATCATCATTTGCACACCAGCCATGGTTATTGGCTCAGGTGCTGCTGCTACGATAGATATTTGTTCAATCACTGGTGGTTGATTCCTGTTTTAATCAGCATTTCCAACTCCACTTCTTGTTCTCACCATTTTTGATCTACACACCGAATAAGGTGAAATTAGATCCTCATTCACGATAGATATTCAAATCATCCTTATCACTCCGAAACGTTTACATGCTAGTTCTAATATCGTAGACGTACGCTTAGAATCCTACACACATAAAGTTTCTAGATCCGGTCGGCAACAGACCATAGATCCGAACAAATAATATCATATATGGCAACATATAACATTTAGCACATAAAGCATTTTAGGTAACTTTCCTAAAATAAACTAGTGCTCGTGTCTAAAATATAACAGACACACATCTCAAAATTCCACTTAGCATTCTAAGTTTAAGTTTAGAAATCTTACAAATTCCTAGTTCGCTTAAACTAATGCTCTGATACCAACTGTGACATCCCCAAAATCTCGGCCAGAAAAGACCGATTTTCATTTATGATTTTAAAATAATTTCAGAGTAAATCCTTTTGATTTGAAAGAGTTACGGAATTTGTTCCCAAAAACAAAACGTGATAAAACAATGTTTACCAAAGCATTTCATAAAAGAAATGTATTTTCATTATATAATCAAAACTCGGGATGTCATGTTCCGATACAGACCATAAAGCATAAACGATAACATTACAAGTCATTCAACAAATATATACATAAACAGACTTGTAAACAAAACAACTTGATGGTTCATCCATCTTATTTTTATTATTTATTTTTAGTAGGCCGGGACAGGAAAACTCCGTTATAAAATCATAACTTCTTCATCTGATGTCCGTTTTCGCCTATCTTTTTATCGTTTTACTACAATTAATGAGATCTTCGATTCTCATTTAGATTGTTTCGGCTAAAAACCGCTCGGTCTCAAATCGAGTATTCGGGCTGCATACCGCTAAATCGAAACTTCGGAAAATCATAACTTCCTCATACGAAGTCAGATTTTGGCGTTCTTTTTATGCACGCTCTCGGTTTAACAAACTCTATGAATTTCGTTTAGATCACTAAGGCTAAATATTGCTCTAACGTAAATTTCACTTTTTACGTCATTCAACGTTGTCGGTTCTGTCGCGAAACTTCGACAGGTCATAACTTTTCCGTTATAACTCGGATTTTGGCATTCCTTATATCTCCGGAATCCTTGTTTCGAGCACTACAACTTTATGTAAAGATATTGAGATTATCCCACACTTCAAGTTCGACGCTTATTTTATTCTTAATTCATTAAATTATAATAATTAAGAAAATAAACACATAATTCACATAATACTCAAATATTTCATCATTAATACTTCAAAAAGAGTTACAAGGGTTAACCTAGACTATTACATTAATGATAATGCCTAGCCTGGAAACGCGGGCGTTACAAAAGGCAACATCCTTTAATTATGATGCGTAACCGCTCCGCAATTGCATGTTCACCACGTATCATCGACTATTTGACCTGAGGCCATAGACACTCGTTTACTTGCCACGTCATAGCCATCTTCTTGCCACGTCGTTGCACTCTTTCTCAAGGGAATTCTACTTTGGCCATGTGTCGTGGCACCCATATACCACACTGCGGGGAAATGTTCATTGTCATTCTTTATTACGAAGAAGAATAGCCGCGAAGTGGAGATGCCCTTGTTCTGATTTGATAGCAATCCCTAGCTCATTCCATTCCAGTCTTGGGATATTTTTCCTTCAATCTTCAATCATTCATAACTTTTTTGTTACTAACCCGTTTTCGATGTTTTTTATATCCACACGAAGGTATGAACATACTCTATACATATGTTAAGTTATATCTAAATGAATTAATACGGTTGTTAATCTATTAAGTCACAAAGTTGGCTCAAAAGGCATAAAATTATCAATTTTACTCTTTTGACCAAAATGCATCTTCTCATGCACTATTTCTCTTAAACTTACTCATAAAACTTCTTCTAAGTGACTTGAACTTAGCTTGACCATATTCTAAGTTACTTCAACATAGCTGGGCCATTTTTATGAAGTTACCACTTCCTATTTTCATCTTTTCTCATATTCGACCATTTTACTCAAATGGACAAACACAAATAAACATAAATCTTCAAAATAGATTTTTTAATAGTTGATATTCAAAATTTCTTATATGTTGATCGTACATAGCAAATTACTTATAATATTTTTAAGAAATATATTGACCATATTCATAGTTTTAAGTAAATACACAGAAAAATCTTGTTTATATTTGTTCAATTAATAAATAAACAAGGATAAACAAAATTATGAATTGTTCATAAAAAAAAATCATTAGACATTCCGTTGGTTTAGTTTGCCAAAAATGTATCGTTATGAACTTATAACTAAAATTCTGAAGCACCGAGAACAAAATAGTAATTTACGCTCAACAATACGATAAAAATCTTGTTTGCACTATCTTAATTTCTAAAATCAAAATGAACTTTGAAATTTTTAGTTTGACAAATTAGGAACTCGAGAAGTTTTAATACGAACTCAATTGTTTAATTTAATAATAATTAATTTAACATATACGATGGGAAATTAAAAACTAATCTATCCTTCTTATTGTTTTAATAACCGAAAGATCCATCGGAGATCCGCAAATCTTAACAGGCTTTTCGTTACTTTCTTCATACTTCCTTGGCTATTGATCTTATTATTGTTGTTTAGTTTTTATGAATGATATGATTATTTAGCTAATATTGATAAAATCTATGTTAATTTTTTGTTAATTTGTAGCTGTGTATGTCTATAAAAATGAGTTAATTACGAGATAACATTCGAATTTTATTGTTTATCGAAATTACAAAAAAGGTATTGTTCTTCCAGACATTTCATCAAAATTCAAACATATAGTGAACGAACCAAACACAAAATCACATTACATCAAATTCATGTAGAAGATTCTGTGTATTTTTCTAACCAGATATCTCAATGGACTTCACATCGGGCTTCTTCACTTCTTCTTTGGGGACAGTAATTGTGAGCACGCCGTTTTCCATGGCTGCTTTCACCTGATCCATCTTAGCATTCTCCGGCAACCTGAACCTTCTGGTGAACTTCCCACTGCTGCGTTCCACACGATGCCATGTATCGTTTTTATCTTCTTTCTCGACATTTCTCTCTCCACTAATTTGCAGGATCCTGTCGTCTTCCACCTCCACCTTTACTTCTTCTTTCTTGATCCCAGGAAGATCGGCTTTAAACACATGAGCTTCTGGGGTTTCCTTCCAATCCACGCGTGTGTTCACCAAGGCAGAGGTTTCACTTGAAACATGATCTGACGAAGATGAAATTGGGAAATCTTTGAATGGATCCCAGATGTCGAGTGAGAATGGATCGAAGATGCTGCTTCGTCGGCCACCGAAGAAACTTGGAATGATCGACATCTTCTATGTTTCTCTGAAACTGTTGTAAGAAGAATTCGCTTAGTTTGATTTGTTGGGAATTTTGCTGATTTTGGTTTGGCATTTGTTAATGGGTTGGGATTATATAGTATATGCTTAAGGGATGACGAGAACTTTCTGGATGACTCCTTACGATCGATAATCGTTTGCAGGTTTGGAGAAACTAGAAACTTCTCCATTCTTCCGTGGTCACAGGGGAAGGGGATTGGGAAGTTTACATTACTTATAAGTATTACCCACAAAATTATATAAATAGTCTATATAATTATTAAAAAGTTAAAAACTCAGTTTTTATTAAACTTTTTAACAAATATCATCCATGTACATAAATTTTTTTTGGAACCGACAATGTTTATTAAAACAAACTCACTTGAAAGGGACTAGTGAGAGTCAAAGTACAATCTAAATTACGTAGAAGTGATCGGCGAATTTTTCCAGATCTACCATACAAAATTTCCTTTTCCATGCCTAAATTTAATCCAAGTATAGGCCATGGATCTGACACCTTCAAACACCAATTTCGGGGGTATAAACTTTGAGTTGAAAACTCTATCATTCCTTGCTTTCCACATTCCCCATAATGTTCCGAATATGATTGAATTTATTGCTCTCTTCTTTGTTTAGGATTTCCCACACGTGGCTACGAAATTTAAAATCCCCTTGACATTAGACAGTTGAGGGAGTATGATTTCACACCAATTCCATATGCGGTTCCAAATTGCAATTGCAAAAGGACAAGTGACCAACATATGATCTGCTGTTTCACTCCCTGAAATACATACACTACATGTTTCGCCTTGAATATTAACTCCTCGCCTCATAAGAGCACTCGCTGAAGGGATTCGATCAATCCTTGCTCGCCATACAAAGCGGTTCACTTTGTTGGGAATCCATTTACTCCACGTGAAAGCTCCATCCGGAGCCAAGTGACCTGCCCGATCTATCGTTCCTCGTAACCCTGCAACGTGAAATTTCCCATCTATAGCAAAATCAAATTCCCATCTCGACTCCTCTTGGTTTCGACGAATAATATCTGAATCTGCAATGTTTATTATTCTAAGGGAGTTTTTGCATTTGTCAATATTTTTCCATACCCCACCTAGATATTTGGAAGACAACCATGTTGGAGGGAAGGATCCTAGGTTATGAATACCATTTATAGCCCTCACCCATATCGAGTTTTGCTCGTGAAAAAAATTTCCATTTCCATTTCGCAAGCAATGCTAAGTTCATTGCCTTTATGGATCCCATACCTAGACCACCAGCCTCCTTAGGAGCAAGAATTGTGTCCCAAGTCACCCATCGGATTTTGTGTTCATTATTTGTGCCTCCCCAGATGAAATTTCTTCTGATTTTCTCCAATGTCTCAATAACCCCCAATGGAGCGGCAAATAGTGACAGATAGAATGTGGGGAGGTTCCCAAGAACTGGCTTTGCAAGATTCATCCTCCCACCAAAACTTAAGGACTTTGATTTCCAACAAGAAAGTTTGTTTCTGAAATTTTCAATTATCAAGTTCCAGGAGCTTTTTCTATTCATGTTTTCCCCCACCGGTATCCCAAGGAATGTGAATGGCAATGTGCTCGGTTCACACCCTAGCGGTAGTGCCCAATTTTCAACCTCCTGCGAATTAACACCTATGCCAAAGACTTTGGATTTTCTGTAATTGACACTTAAACCGGAAGATACATAGAAACATTTGAGCAACCTAGCAAGGTTTTTTATGTTTTGATGGGACCATTCCCCAATGAAGAGGGCATCATCTGCGTAAAACAAATGCGATAGTTGAATGTTAGATCCTGAAATGGAAATACCTTGAAACATACCTAAATGATTACTTTTAGTTACACCGTTTAATTTTGGTTCGTTAGTACGAGGGTGATTTGGTCTTTTCAGATAGTAAAAACTGAATTTGTGACTATGAGTAAAATAAAAATTATTTATGTAATTTTGTCTATATTGTATATTGTATGTTTATAAATTTATAACTTTTCCAACGTTTTACTATATTTTCACACATTCACTTTGGACATTATAAAAATTTATTTTCACTCGTCAATTTAGCAAACTTTAGTGTTTGTCAACTTACAGTATATATTATTTGATTTTCTATAATAACTTTTGTTCTTTCACTTAAAATAAAATTAATTTTTTGCGTGCTTTTATATATATATATATATATATATATATATATATATATATATATATATATTCAAGGTGGTTAATATTTCGATGTGAATTTAGAACTTCAATTTTTTTCTTTAAAAATACTTATTTGTTTTTATATAAATGTATCTGTTTAAATTCGAATTTGCTTATGTTTCCACATAATTTTTCTTACGTTTCCGTGCTTAGTTTTAATTTCCTACGTATTATTTGCATCGAATATAATAATGTTTGTCCGTTAGCTTAAAAAGAACATACTATATTCAAATTTGTCTATATACTGACATATATATATATATATATATATATATATATATATATATATATATATATATATATATATATATATATTTTTTTATGCTTAATTTTGTCTAAATTTCATACATATGAGTTGAGTATATATAATAATTTTCGTTCGTTAAATTAAAAAAAAAAAAAAAAAACAATTTTTTGCATGCTTATTTTTATCCATTTGTAGGTATAAATTCAAGATAGTCGACGTTTCAACGTAAATTTGGAATTCATTCACTATTAATAATAATAATAATAATAATAATAATAAATAAAAAAACCTTTCACACACATATTTTCCTTCCGTCTCTCTATCTCTTTTTTCTTTTCTTATAGGGTGTGGTACCATCCTTTATACATTGTATTTTTGCTGGGAAAATGAGACGCACTGTGTAATGGTAACACTACACCTTCAATTTAAGAGATTATACATTTAACTAATGTTATATTTTACAACTTTTTTTTAATATATTTATAGCGTCATTTTTTTTTAATTTTAAATATTTTACATAATCTTTCTAAAACTTATAACACTACAGTAACATTCTAAAATCGGATTACAACTCCATTCACTCCATCTTAGCACCTGCCCTTTTCTATTTCTTGCATTGATCCAAAGAAGCGATAGTGATTGTACCTCATAAAGTAGCACCGCGTGTGGTTTTGGACTTGGGTTTGAAGAATGGGCTTTAGAGTTCTTGTATCTCCAAATTACCCAAAGAAATACCATCATTATACCTTCATGAATCTTTGCCAGCCTATGGTGACCCCCGAGTCTTGCTTTACATTCTAACAAATCACGTAACGAATTTAGAGGATAGTCTAACAAACGCCACCATCTACATACTTGTTGCCATACTTCATGTGAGACCGGGCAATCCATGAACATGTGTTCCTCTGTTTCTGGAGCTCCGTTGCAAATTATGCACAAGTTTGATATACTGATACCAATTTTAAATAGGTTGGCCATGGATGGAAGTTTAACATGACAGATTTGCCAAGCAAGAATATTCAATTTTCCAGGTATTAGAGAGTTCCAAGACCAACTACTCTCGCTTAGAGGTAGGATTACATTGTCAATATGCTTCCTGAGATATGCAACTGAATATACCCAGAAGCATCAAGGGACCGGACCTATTTAGTTGGACCATTGTTATTGGTTGACAGCTTAAAATGTTCTATAAAAGACACTTTCTCCTTCATTAACAATTTAGGGATATTAGCAATTGTTCCCCAACATCCGTTCCTTCTCTTTGCTATCGAGGGCCTATCAAATCCACCATTAGTGCCATAAATTGCTTTTATCAGCTCAGCCCGTGTGCTATCCGGATAGTTTTTGAATCTCCACCACCATTTGCCTAATAGGGCTATATTTTCTTTCGTTGGTTCAAAAAATCTGAATAAATTTTTTGTTCATGGAAATTGATAAATTTCTAGTTCTAAGGTCCTAAAATCCTCGAGTTTTGGGTTTTGATATGTTAGACCCGAAGCTATGAAATATAAGTAGAGATAAAGGTGAGAAAAACCGAACCACAAATAGAAAAATTGTAACGCCCTGGTTATTTTAATAAAATAACAACTGAAAGTCTCGGACTAAATTGTGAAGCATTTTAAAAGTCAGGGGTTTAAAGTGTAAATTCGGGATTAAATTGAAAAGAATTTTGGAGGTCAGGGTACGTTTGGTAATTAATGGATTTAACTTGAAAAGATATGATGGTTGAGGGGGCTGATTTGTAGATTGGGGAGCTCCTAGGAAAGGAATTTATGGAAGCAGGGTTCAAAAGGTAAAATTAACCTATTCTTTCCTTTAGCCGTTGTGCGATACGAACCCCCTCCAGCCGCCACCACCGATCTCGGGTCCGATTTCCATCCCTCCACCTACAACCTACCGTCGGAAACCACCCAACATCCCCTGATGTCGATGTCGCTGTGTGCAACCGCAAGAGTCGACGAAAACTGAAGATGGAAGCCGAGAACATCGTCGGATGGTCCAGGAGCGATCGGGAACCTCTCGGTATGCCAGCAACACTTGATTTCTTCATTCTTCTCTTCAATTTCGACGTCGGGATCATTGTTGTTGCCGGAAACGACTTTTGGTCGCTAACCCCCCCCCCCCCGGCGCGCGTGCTTGTTTCAGCGTCGCTAGCCGCCTAGTCGGTGGTGGGAGCGGTGGTCTCGTGTCACGCAAAGACACATATTGTTGTTGAACCATGAAGTGTTGTGAGATTGTTGCTGGCCGGAAATCGAGGAAAAGAACCACTATGGCTGCCTGCCAAGGTGGTCATCGCTATTACCGCCTCCCGGTGATGCTGCCGCCGCCGTGAGCCACCAAGCGGGTGGCTGGGGCGCCAATCGCAAATCAAAAGCCTGTATGTGTGGGTTTATTTCAATAGAGAAGTGTGTGGAAGTTTATTTGGCCGGAAAAGCCATCACCACCACCGTGAGGTGGTGGCTACCACCATTTGCCGCCGCCAGCCACCCGATGGTGGTTGTGGGTGTGATTAGTTTAGTGTGAAAGTGTGTGTTTATTTTGGTAATTTCTTTGTAATTGTAAAACTTGGATTAATGAAAGAAAACCGAAAACCACCACCTTAGGGTGGTGGCTGCCACCACCGGCCGCCGTGTCGGGTGGCAGTGTGCCTTGTCTCGATTATGTTGATTCGTTTGGAGGGTTTGAAACCCTAATGGGCCCAAGGAAGCCCTAATGGGCCCAATAAGAGTTAATGGGCTTAATAAAACCTTAATGGACCCTAATAAAACCCTAATGGGCTTAATGACATTCTAGTGGGCCTAGTAGGCCCAATAAAGCCCTAATTAACCTAGAAGCCCAACAAGTTAATAAATGGGCTAGTCTTTGGATTGGAAAACACTAATGCCAATTAAACCCTAATTTTGAGAATTAATCGGGACGCAGACTGAATTATTTAATAACTTGGAATATTCATTAATAATTATTGGCAAAGATTAATCTAAGTAATATTGGACTTAATGGATTAAATCCTTAAAGGATTAAGTCCTTAATGGGTTAAGTAAGAAACACTTAACCATAATCATCATTTTATGTGAAACCCTAGTTTCACTTGGGCCTTTAGTTGGGCCTTTTGATTGGGCTTTGGTAATTGATTTATTATTGGGCCATCCAAGGTTAATCAAATAAACTAGAGTAATTAGTTGGGCTTTAGGGTAAGGCCCATATGAAGGATTAGGCCCTATTTGGAAAATTAGGCCATAAATGGACTATAGTTTAGGCCTAGATGGTTGTATGATATTAGGCCCTTAGAATGAGACATGTTGGACTGGACTGAACAAGTGGGCCTTAAGGGAAGTCCATGTAGAGGTTTGGGCCCAATTTGGAAAGTTGGGCCATGTGTTGGGCTTTGATCCCTAGTTGACTTTGGGCTTATGGAATGGACCTTGTGTAGCACCTGGTTTCCGGTATGTGAATTTTATTTGAGCATTGCCCTAATTTAGCCTTGGACTCGGCGAGTCATAGGGTCCGACTCGCCGAGTAGGGACGAGACTCAGGACACGTTTAAGTGGGCGACTCGGCGAGTCCATATCTTGGACTCGGCGAGTCACCGCTGCTGGATGAAACCCTAAGTTTCAAGGGTTTGCACCCTATTTAAACCCTCATTCCGCCCCAACTCGTCCCCATTCACCCCCAGAACTCCCCCAACATCGTTTTCCCTTGTTTCCTTGAGAGATTGAGGTGTTCTTGGTGTGTTCTTGAAGGTTTTGAGGAGAAAGAGGAGTAGATCAAGAAGAGGAGAAGGAGATCAGCCATCTTTGTGTCATTTCAACATTTTCCTTGAGGTATATCTCGTTTTCCCCTGTTTCTATGCTTAGGATGTCATTTGGGACACTCTTGAGCAATTCTCCAAGCTTGTTTGTGTTTAATGACTCGTAATAAGTGGATTAACCTTTAGATCTAGGCAAGATTGAGCTCCAGGAGCTCAGATCTGTGAGCTTTATGGCCCCATGTGGCTTGTTCATCCTAGATCTACCCTTTTGAGGCATTTTACACCCTAAAATCCACATTAGTGAATATCCACACGTAAAGTTGGAAACTTTACGTGTGATTTGTGTCCTAGAAGTCCAGATCTATGAATGGCATGGACTGAAATCGAGTAAATCTGTGTATTTGGTGGATGCATGGCGACGACTCGGCGAGTCGTATAGGTGACTCGGCGAGTCTGGTCGCGAGTCACCGATTTGGTCCCTTCATCATGTGTCAAGTTGAGCCATGAGTCACAGGGGGTGACTCGGTGAGTTGGGAGATGAACTCACCCATGTTAGGACTCGGCGAGTCAATGCCCTGACTCGGCGAGTCCAAGGCAATCTTCATAGATCAAGAACAGACTCGGCGA